CCATTCCAGGATAAAACCATGTCCCCGCCAATGTCCCCACCCATGTCACCGCCCATGAGCGACCTGGAATCGGACGACGGCTATGCCTATGACCTTAGCGACCCATGGCACCCCTCGGATGCGCAAGGAGGAGCAGTTCAGTCCGTTCAGCATGTACCCATGCAAAAAGCGCAGGTTGTTCCCATGGCCTACCAGCCGGTACCGCATACTGATGCTGCCATACCGCGAGGTAGCAGCTTGAAGGGAAAGGAACCGGCGGGCTCACGGAAATCTGGCAGCTACAGCGATCGAAGTATGCTGCCTTCGCAGAACATGCCCAGGAAGCCCGTAGCCAACCCCGCGGGACTTGGCCTGGTAGGTGTCCGCGACACTTCGACACCCTCTGATGTATCTCGTTCGGAGAGCAAGAGGGGCCAGGGGAGAAGAGACAGCCGTGGATTCATGGCTGCACAGATGGAAATGCAACAAAATGATATCGACTACAAAGGATCACCACGAGAGAATGATACCCAGCAACTACCACGCAAGATCCCTCCCGTTCCCCAGACCGTTCAAATACCGCCCATTCCGCCTGTCCCTCAGACCAATCGCAAGAGCGTCATGTTCTCCGAATCCGAGTCGGACCTAGAGCAGCACGATCCCGAGAAGAAACATCGCTACTCCCGCCATCACAGTGAGCCGGAGAGGACCTACACACCCGCTCCTATGCTCGAGGAATGGAGAAGTGCACCGATCGGTCTCCTTACTGCAGACGATCTAGATCTAGACGCTCCAGTCAAAGCCAATAGCGGCAACAAAGCATGGTGGGAAGAGAGCAAGGCCTCTCGACGAAGACGTTCAGGCGGATACGCGGAGCCAACTTACGATGGCTATGCCGACGATGCCCCCACACACACTGCTTTCAATCCACCACTATACCTCAAGTGTGGACCGCTCCTACGCTACACCGGTCTTCGGAGAGATCGCAGCGTTCCCGGACGTGAGCGTGAAATCTGGAGAGGCAGTATCATGATTGTTACTGTTGACGCCTCTTCTTCGTATGCCAAGCCGCCGACGTTGCGATTGTTCAAGCAGCCAATGGACATACTTCCGCCTCCCCCGGAGGAAATTAGCCAGGACCAGCTGGACCCATCCTACGTCGATCCCATCGAAGGCCAAGTCAAAGTGTCGCGTACTGGTGAGGCGCTATACGTCAAGCCGGTTGACGAACTCGCAGAGGACGAGGACCTATCGCGCATTGAAGACGACACCGGTTTGTTCTCCACGACTCGAAGCACAACGAACGGATCGGGTTCTAAGTCAACCCGCATTCACAAGAAGGACGGCGAGAAGCTTGGCAAAGTCCGTGATTTCCCCGGTATACGCCTGTATGCTGAGCGAGGCGTGACCTTCTGGCGCTTCAACATCGAAGTCGAACTTGGCGGTACTCAGACACGCATTGCCTACAAGATCAACCAAGGTCCTGCCATCGGATTTTGGGTCCCAGCCAAGGGAGAGTCTATGAACATCATGTTTCACAGCTGCAACGGCTTCTCGGCCACTGTCGAAGCGAATGAGTTCTGTGGTCCAGACCCGATGTGGCGCGATGTACTGAATACGCACCAAACCCGCCCATTCCATGTGATGATCGGTGGAGGTGATCAGATTTACAACGACGCTGTGATGAGGCAAACGACTTTGTTCAGGCAATGGACGGAAAACAGAAACCCCATGCACAAGCACCATCAGACATTCTCTGAGGAGATGCAGAACGAGCTGGAGCAGTTCTACCTCGATCGGTATGCAATGTGGTTCTCCCAGGGTTTGTTTGGCATGGCCAACTCCCAGATCCCAATGGTCAATATCTGGGATGACCACGACATTATTGACGGCTTCGGATCATACCCTCATCACTTTATGCAAACGCCTGTATTCACCGGTGTTGGTGCCGTTGCTTTCAAGTACTACATGCTCTTCCAACATCAATCTGTACCCGCCGAAACCGACAAGACCGAACCGTCATGGGTACTTGGAAAAAGTCCTGGCCCGTATATCAAGGAGCGCTCTCGGAGCGTCTTCATGCAACTCGGTCGTCAGGTAGCCTTCCTCGGTCTTGACTGCCGTACTGAGCGTCAGCGTGACGAAATTCTTACCGAAGACTCCTACGACATCATCTTCGATCGTCTGGAAGATGAGATCATCAAGGGTGAGACTAAGCACCTGATCGTGCTTCTTGGAGTACCCATTGCCTACCCCCGCTTGAACTTCCTCGAGAACATCCTCACAAGCAGGCTTATGGACCCTCTAAAGGCTCTCGGCCGCGCAGGAATGCTGGGCAACTTTGTGAACAAGTTCGATGGAGGCGTCGAGATCCTGGATGACCTAGACGATCATTGGACAGCCAAGCACCACAAAGAAGAGCGCAACTGGTTCATCAAAGAGCTGCAACATATTGCTTCGACCAAATCTGTGCGCGTTACCATACTCGGTGGTGACGTGCATCTGGCGGCAGTCGGACAGTTCTACAGCAACAAGAAGCTGAACATTCCCAAGGATAAGGATCACAGATACATGCCGAATGTTGTGTCTTCCGCTATTGTCAACACACCGCCTCCAGACGTGATGGCAGACATCATCAATAAGCGCAACAAGATACACCATCTCGATTCAGAAACAGATGAAGACATGATTCCCCTCTTCACTCACGGCGTCGACGGCAAGAAGAGGAACAATACGCATTTGCTACCCCACCGAAACTGGTGTAGCATTCGAGAGTACAAGCCAGGATCTTCACCATCAGAAACACCATCGCCACCCACAACCCCTGCGAACGGGCCGCGCATGGGAAGAACGATGTCAGACTTCGCGCCAGGGCAGCTGGTGAGAAGACTCAGTGGCCAACAGAGAAGACCTTCAGGAAGAGGCCGCGGACCACCTGTGTCTTATCGCAACAACCCTTCATATGCCGCCGCCGATGAAGTTCAGATCGGCCACCATCAACCACAGTCTTCATTCTCGCCCGATCGATCAGAACCTGAGAGACCCACTCGTTCGCGACGCAGTTCTCTGACATCGCTCTTCCGTCGCCGCGCGTCAGTAGATGTCGCCCGTCCTGACACGTCTGAGACTGCAACACCTCCCCTAAGCCGGCATAGTGTGTCGCAAGATCGACCGTCTACCTTCCATCGCCGACCCAGCGTACTGACTAAGAAGACTGAGCGGCACCACGGCCCATATGTCAACCTTGAGGGTGGTCTTGACATCTGTCTCAACGTTGAGGTATCGCAGCACGACCCGGCCGGTATCACAATGCCTTACAGACTACTCGTGCCAGCGCTTACTTATGTTGAGCCTGAGGAGGGAGTCGTCGAGAAAGAAAGGGGTAGATCCCGTGGATTCTTCGGCTCTTTCGGTGGCAAGCGCAAAGCGACGATCGGCGATGATGGGAATTCCATCTCGGGCAGCGAAAGCGGAAGTGAGCTTGGGGAAATGTCTAGTGAAGAGGAGGAAGAGCGCACGCAGCAAAGGTACAAGGTCGGACCTCGGATAGTCATGCCGAGTATGGGGTCTCAGAACAGGCGTGGCTCTGAACCTGCTCCTGTCACTGCCATTGGCCCTGCAGCTCCCGTTCCCACTGCCCGTGAGAACCGTCTAAGTTCAGGCTTCCATGCTAACGCAGCTGCAACTGTAGCTCCGAACCAAACGAACGGAATTCCCCGCGATCTCGTTCCAGAAAGTCAAGGACGACGAAGCTTGGATGCAGCTGCGGGTACCTCGTCCAGAGCTGCTGCCTGGGACAACGTGGCCGCGAAACGGCACGTCAGCATGCCGGTCGCTCCTCCCGCTACCCAGACTGCGACCCAAGCGACAGCGATGCCATCCCGCTCCGCCTCCACGCGCAAGCAGCCTACCTATAACTCGTCTCACAAGTCGCAACTCCCTGCGCCTTCGCCAGAGATAGAGCCCAAAGTGCAGCGAAGATCCATGGGTGGTATCTTGAACCAACACTCGCACGACAAGAAGTGGGAGCACGATGCCCATGTAGCCGCTCATACACCTGCACAAACACAAAGGAAGGCGAAGCGGGAATCATACCCACCGCATCCAGCGATCGTCGGCGCCGGACCAAACTCGCCCTACTCGCGAGACGGACAAGGTCTCCAAGCACGACAAGACACAGCCGGCGGTGACTACTTCTCCAGCGGAGGCCGAGACGGCAAGACCCATCCCGCAACAGCACCGCGTCAAGTCGTCGACCCAGAGTACACCGAGAAACCAGTCCAACGTGCCGACTACGCCGCACAACCACAACGAGGCGGTTACGACCGCACCTCTTCCTACCCAGCCTACCCCCAACGCAACGGCACTGCAGGAGTAGGTGCAAAGTACCTCGGCGGAGGCAGGTACGAGGACGAAGATGAAGATAGCTTCGATAGCGCTGATGACGATGAGGCTAGTCTCAGCGGACAGGAGCAGGAGATGAGTCAGGATAGCTTCGTGGTGCCGAAGCGTAAGAAGAAGTGGCAGATTTGGAAGTAATGGGTGAGGAGGGATTGCATTGGTAATGAGATTACGATTGGGGTACATGACTGGTTCGGGCTTTTTGCCCAGGGTACATAATGACGGCGCAGCGTATACCATGGTGTGTTTAGCGGGTTTTTAGAATAGCGACGTCCTTTTCTCTTCTCAATCCAATTTCTAATACTCTATTCTGGAATTCTCTTCGGTGGCATGTGCGTCGATGGAAAAGCTGGAATTACGGCTTGTCGTCGGTAAGCTGATGTTTCGATTGGTCGTCAACCATCACGAACCAAGGTTCCGACATCTCATCCATAGTACACTTAGGCGGAAGTATGTTTGAGCCTGGTATAATACGATACGTATCCCAACGACATTCTCACAACCATCAATAAGCCTACCGCCTACATCAGCTTCTCCCAGCTCCTATCTCGCCGATAATCTGCATTGTATACTCAAGCCTCCGCACCAATTTCACGAACAGTCTTTCAAACCCAGCCAATATGTCTCTCAATCCCCAACCCAAAATCCGCTTCACCCCCAAGATGCTCAACCAGAAAGCGAAGAAAGCCCAACCCACGCAAGAAATGTTAGATCTCGGCATACAAAACTCTTCAGATTCGGCCTTCTTCAACTTGCCAGGCGATATCCGCAAGCGCATTTACGAATTTGCGTTCACTACGGGTGAGGTTATTCAACTCCTACCTCTTGAGGCGGATCTCGAAGGGGCAGCCATTACTGAAGCAGAGGTTGATAAGACGATGAAGATGGATATCGATATTGAGGATATGATGATGGGTCTTGAAATCAACGATACGTCTCTATCCGACGACACGAAGCCGCGAACGCGAAACCCCTTCGCCGCAATCCTCGCATCCCGACAATTCTACTTGGAAACACATCTTCTCCCTTTCTACCACAACACCATCTACTGCTCCGATATGTGCTACCTCGCCACCATCTTGCGTCGTCTTTCGTCTGCACAGACATCGTCGATCCGCGTACTGAAAATTCAGTGGACGACCGCACAATCAGCAGTGCAGGAGTACACGACTTCACCTTATGAATCCAGACCAGTTGAAACAGCACTGCAAATGCTGGACAAATTGGAGAAGGTGGTCGTGGATTGGGCGGGGAAGAGGCGGATCTTTCTTAATAAAAAGAGGGTGGAGGAGGCGCTGAATGCGTTGTGTAGGAGGAAGATTGATGTTTCGTTTGGAAGGGGCGGGGAAGAGTATCAAGAGGTTGTGCAGCGTGTGGGAACGGTACAGCAGAGGAAACGAATGGAGCGAGCGGATACGGCGATGGAGTGGTCGGCGCGCGCTTGGGATGCATGAGGGGGAGAGGGAGGTGCGCGGGAGGCTGGAGATGGAGAGTAGTGAGCAATGTGCTCATGCACTTTGACATGGTAACTACGTGTGTAGTTGTTCGTCTAGTGAACTGTCTTCCTACTCTGCTGTAGCAATCCATGTACATGTTGCTATGCTTTTGATAAATGTCGCTCTTTCTTAAAACCTTGGGATGCATAGCGATGTCGACAGAGAGTAGGACGAGTGTGAAGTAGCTAACTCTTATGTTTATTAGTATAATGCTCTTCGCATGGTCAGCATATGCGCCTTTCTAGTTCGCAACACGCGTTTAGACTTACAAAGATTAGTACTACGCAAGGGTAGCCCCGCTAGCAAAAGACAAGGCCCGCAAGCACACCAAGTCCGCGAAAAACAGCAAAAAAAGGTGAGAGATCACTAGTCCTGGTGGGGCTGGAAGAACTGTTAGTAAAGGAATTCGAATCACGGTTGTCTGGAAATCACGTACTTCGAACCCACGGCATCCGCATAACCTGAGATGAGGTCATAAGAGTCTGACGAATCTTATAAGAACGGCGCGCTACCACTGCGCCACAGGACTTTGTTGTCCCTGGACTTGTTTTTGGACATTTCTCAAAATGGATCATCTATAATGTGAATGCGTAGACATGGAAAGACTGAATGTAGCCGGTACCCATCGATCGGAATCGTTGTACATCGCACAGATATCATAGGCGGGGCAATGCAAACGTCGGTGAGTGATGACACAAAGAACGCCGCTAGCCGGTGGGGTGGCTGGCGCCCGCCCGCGTGAGGGGATCGGCCAACCACATCCGACCGTGAGACATCTACCACGGTGCTCCCTTCCGCGTTCATTGCTTTCCCTCTATCGCAACCACTTACCTGTTGGATACATTTAATTCTGAGAGAAGCCTGTCGTCAAGTAAGTCATGGTTCCAATCCTTCTTCATCGATTCGTAGACGCCCTTCTTCACACGTGGCAGGCGTCTGGGGTCGTTGCTTCTTTGGGTGTATGATGCTCGACAACAACAGACGTTGCCCAAGAACAAAAGCTGCATGCACTCTTTTATCAATGATCTGCTTTATGATCTGATGATCTTGTTCCTCCCTAGCATCTCAAGGTCGGCTCTACTACACACGTGGTGTCTGTACAGCTACATCTACACCGCTTGAGTGTCGCCAACACGACACGATCCTACATCTCAACACCATGGTCCAAAGCCTAAACACGAGACGCAGTCCATTCTGAACAACCGACTAACATGTTACAAAGGTACCTTCTATTGAAGCCAACACCAGTATGACGATCAGAGCCTCCAAGTTCACACCCGAGGTGCTACTCGAAGCGCCACGCCGTTCCGGAGGCGTCCCAAACTCTGATGCATCAAAAGTCGTGTACGCGGTTTCCACATACAGCTTTGCTGAACATTCGAAGAAATCCGAGATTCGCATTCTGGATGCTGCAAGCCAACAAACCAGTCTCGTGACAGATGATGCATCCTTCAGCGAGCCTTCGTGGCTTGACGATGAGACTGTACTATTGCTAAAGTCGAATGATGATGGCACCACGAAGATGGTTGTTGGCTCCCCATACAACTTCGAGAAAACGTAAGTCCAATACTTCCCATATGAGTGTGCGACTGCTAAATGACTCTCAGCAAACATACTGCTGTACATATCGACGGCCCAGTAAGCGACGCCAAGATTTATGCCCTCGGTGATGACACTTTCGGTTTCGCTGTGGTCGGTAAGGCGAAGCCAGATGGTACGCTGTTCAACCCTGAGCTGGCCGAGAAGCCACATTCCTCAGGCAAGCTTTACAAGTCCGGATTTGTTCGTCACTGGGATCATTACGTGACGGAGAACCGGAACGCGATCTGGCTTGGCAAGTTTATCTTGAAGAAGTCGGAGAAGTCCCAAGATACCGGTGCCAACCCTGGATATCCTCTGATAAATGCGCTAAAGGGAACGGAGTTGGAGTCGCCGATTGAGCCGTTTGGTGGAAAGGATCATTTCGACATATCCAAGTATGGCCTGGTCTTCACAGCGAAAGATCCTGGCCTGAACCCTGCGACACACACGAAGACCAACATCTACGTTTCCGCGTCTGAAACATTCTGGGATGATCTTCACTTCAAGGACCAGCCACAAATTCAAAATGTATCCATCGAAGGCTTCGAGGGTGCCAGCACGTCTCCTGTCTGGTCGAACTCGCGTGGCATGATCGCTTTCCTCTCCATGAAGACTGACGGCTACGAGTCAGACAAGAATCAGCCCTTCATTATCCACGATTACAAGAAACCCTCAGAGGTCACCCTGCTCTACGGATCTGAAGACGGCAAGGGTGAATGGGATCGAAGCCCACAGTCAATATCTTGGAGCCCTGACGACTGGCGCCTTTACTTCACTGCCGAATCACATGGGCGTGGAAACTTGTACGGTGCCGGACCCCCTAAGCCTGGCGGCGAGAAGGAGCCTCTGCCATCACTACTAGTGAAGGGTGGGACCATCGGCTCAGTACAGGTACTCAAGAATGGCGATCTTTTCTTGGCTTCCACCAGCTTGATCGAGAACTCTCTCTACTCACTGGTCCCACTGAGCGCACAAAACAAAGACACTGCCGTCTACGATCTTCCCATCGACGATCGGCCATACGACTCCGACCCTGATCATCTGACAACCAAGTACATATCTTCAAACACTCGCTCTGGGTCCATGTTTGGTCTGTCGCGCCACCAGATCGATGAAATCCATTGGGATGGCGCTGCATCCGGTACCAAGGTCCACGCCTGGGTTATAAAGCCCAGCAACTTCTCGTCCAGCAAAACATACCCCCTCGCTTACCTCATCCACGGTGGACCCCAGGGTGCATGGACAGATGGATGGAGTACGCGTTGGAACCCTGCAGTATTCGCAGAGCAAGGCTACGTTGTCATTTGCCCAAACCCTACAGGAAGTACGTAAATCTCGTACCACAAACTGTATAGTAGATACATATTGACTTCATTTCTAGGCACATCCTACGGACAAGCCTTCACAGATGCGATCCAAGGCCAGTGGGGCGGTCTGCCATACGAAGACCTCGTGTTGGGCTTCAACTACATAAAGCAGAATGTCAGCTACGTCGACACGAAGCGAGCTGTTGCTCTCGGTGCCTCCTACGGCGGATACATGATGAACTGGATCCAAGGACACCCTCTTGGCCGCGAATTCAAAGCCCTAGTGACCCACGACGGCGTCTTCAGCATGTCCGGCCAGATGGCGTCTGAGGAGTTGTACTTCCCCTTCCACGACATCAAGGGAACGCTTTGGAACAACCCCGAGAATTGGGCCAAGTGGGACCCGTCCAGGTTTACCGAGAACTGGGCCACGCCTCAGCTGGTCATACACTCCGAACTGGACTACAGGCTCACCATCAGTGAGGGACTGGCAGCGTTCAATGTGCTGCAGTGTAAAGGAATTGAGAGTCAGTTCTTGACGTTCCCGGATGAGAACCATTGGGTGCTGAAACCGGAGAATGGGCTCATGTGGCATACGGTTGTGTTGGATTGGATCAATAAGCATGTGGGATTGAAGACGTACACTGAGGCTCGGAAGGCGGGAACCACCGACTAGTATTTCGGTAGTGAGCTTTTGCCATATAGCACGTCCCTATGCACTGATTGGGCTCGACATTGCCATGTGTGTGATTTCGTTGTCTTGACTCTGAACGACATATGAAGCCTGTACGATGATAAATCTTGTCACTGAATCTCTCGTTATTAGTGGCTAATCCAGTTGAGAGTGAAACAATAAGCAGATGAAAATAAATGCATGCATTCAAAGTTTTGGTTCAAGTCAAGACGCGCTCGCATTGTAGCGCGTAGGTAGCGTGAGGCTGCTCTTATCGATAAGGATCCTAGATTATTTTCTCGGGCATCGCGACGGCTCGAACTTTTCCTTAGCACGCAGCTCGTCACCCACCACACCAAGGGCAACAGGATTCACCGCCCTCCAATCTAAACGAAACTCTTCCGCGACCCGAACTCAGCCGATAGATCGCGTGCGCCACCCCAACCACACCCGCTATCGAACTAGAGGCGGCGACGCCTGCGGAGCTCTCAAGATGCCGAAGAAAGCCATCGACTCCCGTATACCGGCCCTGATCCGCAATGGCGCCCAGGAAAAGAAGCGCAGCTTCTTTGTAGTCGTCGGCGATCGCCAAAAGGACGTCATTGTCAACCTCTACCACATTCTGCTGAACGTGGACGTCAAGTTGAACAAGTCGGTGCTGTGGGCATACAAGAACAAGCTGCTGGGATTCTCAAGTCACCGCAAGAAGCGCGAGAAGAAGATCAAGAACGAACTCAAGCGCGGCATCCGCGATGTCGACACCGAAGATCCATTCGAACTATTCGTCTCGACGCAGAACATCCGATATGTTTACTACAAGGAAACCGACAAGATTCTGGGTAACACATACGGCATGTGCATCCTGCAGGATTTCGAAGCGCTTACGCCGAACCTACTCGCGAGGACAATCGAGACGGTCGAGGGTGGAGGACTGGTCATATTGCTGCTCAAGGGCATGAGCAGCTTGAAGCAGCTGTACACAATGTCCATGGACATCCACTCGAGGTATCGGACGGAGGCACACAGCGACGTAGTAGCGCGCTTCAACGAGCGCTTCCTGCTGTCACTCGGGAAATGCGACAGCTGTTTGGTTGTCGATGATGAGCTGAACGTGCTCCCCATCTCAGGTGGAAAGCATGTGAAGCAGCTGCCACCACCGGACCTAGAGCTGGAGGGCAAGACACCCAAGGCGAAAGAGCTGGCAGAGATTAAGGAATCTTTGGCAGACTCGCCTCCTACAGGAGATCTTGTCAAGCTTGCAAAGACAGTAGACCAAGCCAAGGCTCTGCTGACATTCGTGGAGGCCATTGTTGAGAAGACGCTTCGCAGCACTGTTACCCTGACCGCAGCCCGTGGACGAGGAAAGTCTGCAGCTCTCGGTGTTGCAGTGGCAGCAG